TTTCTTGGAAATTTTGCAAGTTAGCACTCTGGAATTTTAATATGTTGGTAGTTTTCGTGATTTTTAATAGTCAAATATTCATTTTTCTTAAATCATCTTTTGTTCTTGGTCCTTCAACAATTTTAGTTTGTATTATTTGTTGCAGGATCTGTTAAATGTTCTAGCATATATGGTTTTAGGACATTTTATTCGACTTGACACTGTAATACGCCGATATAATAATTTGTATGCATGTTACAAAAAATCTTCGCAATAATTGTTATTTAGTTCATTCATATGAAAGTAGAACTCATATCGTAGTTTTGAGCCGTCTGGTCAATTGTTTTATGTGCGTTCCCATGACAATTTTATGAAAACATTGTTGAATCATAATATGTATGTATGTTAATATTAAATCAAGGATTAGTCATGACTCCCATATGCATAAGTATACATAAATATTTTAAAAGGCATGAGCAATTTTAGTTTTTAAAATTGTATTTAATTGGAAATAGAACATTATAAAGTTTAGATATAGATGTGTTTTTTAAATAACGTATGAAAAGTTTTAAATTAAAAATTTTAAAATTCGAAATAACCTGGACAGAAAACACTCATTTTTCAAATTAAATTATAATCTTCTCAGAAAAAATAAATAACTTTCACAATATTTACACATACGTAAATCCCGCATATACATACATACATATATATTTATTGCCAATTTTAGCGTAATGTTAACTTTTCGAATTTCGAAAATTTTAATTTTTTAAGAAACATAATAGCTATACAATGCACCCACACCAACAATAATTAATAAAGGACATTTTTTATTTCAAAGTCCATTATCCTTTTTCGAAGCATCATTGAGACCAAAAACAGTTTTGTTCAGCTTGAGAAATACTCAAGAAGTTTCAAGGTTGACATATTTGAAAAATTCTTTTGAATTTTAACTAATTTCCCTGGTCATTTACAATAATTTCCGAGGAAGTTTAAAAATTCCTCATTAATATTAAGACTCCTTATATTATTCTCACTTGAAATTTACTTTTTTCTTACAATTTTGTTCAATTGTTGCTTGAAATAGAACCAATATTAAATTTTGAAAATTTTTTTCTCATATTGCTGTCTTTAAGTATAAAAAAAAATTATTTGATATTTTTTATTTGCAAAACTGTTTGAAGTTTACAAATACAAACGACCATAATATTTATATTGCAAAAAAATTTTTTTTTTTTATTTTCAAGTCCCTCACCTCATACCATTAAAAAAAAAAAACATAAATTTATACATAAAACCACTTTTATTCTACCTGTATCATTTGTTACTCTAAATGTGTACATTATGTACCTAAACATATTTGTGTGTGTGTTTGTTTCGAATCCAATAATGTCGCTGTTCGAATGCACATTCATTTGTACATACTTACATTGAAATAAAATTCCTTTTTATATTTATTTCGTTTACCTACAAAACCTTAAGTGCATATTATGAAAAAATAAGAACATAAACGTTTTTTTTTATTTCCACACAAACGTACGTACAAACGCTTGTGCCAATTATTACATATTGCCAGTTTATCCATATAAGCATAAATTAAATCGTAATTTACTCGTAAATTCGTAAAAAGTTTATAATATATGTAAAAAATACAATGCCTCTTTGCGACAAGCCCAGAGATGAAAATGTGTTCTTCGATTAAACTGCGGTAGTCACTAACAACTTTACTATATAACTGATAATTTAGCATTATTTATGAACAATCTAGACCAGCAACATCAGTTTATATGAATGTATGTACATATATATGCCGCAGTTTTCACTATAATATGTCGCGATATACTGCGTTGATGAAAAGACCTATAATTTTTCTAAAAATATAAGAATATTTGAACAGAAACGAGGTACAATTACAATAATTCGAAAAATGTTATATGCTATAATTTATTTGAAATTGAAATGTAAATATGTATAAATATTCACTGGTTTTTAACCAAATGGGTCACTTGAGTTTTATGCTCTTTGCCAGGTCACCTAGTACTGACGCAGTACTAAAGGTAGACGCTCAAAGAACTTTAATATTGAATTTATATAGGTATAAGATATATATATATTATTTCAATATATTTATATATTGAAATAAGAACGCACTCCAATATCCAAATAATGCAATTACCGTAGTTGCATTTCATATATTATAAAACACATACAGATGTAGGTATGTAGAGGTATGTACATATAAACGTTTGTACCTAATATATAGATTGTTCATAAATTCATGTATGTACATATTTATATGCATAGCATATGATATATGAGTATATCTACTTTCGAACATAAAATAAATTTAAAACTACTATCCTATATGATTTTAAAAGAAACCTGAATCTCATTTAAATATTTGACCTGTAAAAATATACGTTTACACATATATAGACACATATGTGTAATTTATATTTATATGATTGCCTACAATAAAATACAATAAATAAGCAAATGAATTTAAGCAACAGAAAAAAAATACCAACAACGGCAAAAACTAAATCCACACAGCAACAAATCAAAAGAATAAAAACTAAAATGAAAAGCAAAACAGAAAAAAGCAAACAACAAGATAAAAACAAATAAAAGTAAAAAAAAAAAGAAACCACGTGAATTCACCTTCTCAAAATAAGAATTGAAAAACTTAGAATGTATGCACATTCACAGAAACAAGCAAAAATTCATTGCACAGTGCTTTAAGAGCATTTAAACATTTTATTTGTTATGAATCGCATGACTGACTAAATTTCATATACAAAATTGTATGCATGTGTGTATGTTTATAAATTTACAACTTATCAAAGCCTAAAGCCAATAATGTTGCATTTATACTATACTAGATTTCATTTACGACCCCTTCTCTTTCTCTCTTGAAAGAAAAATCATGGAAATAGCTAATAGAAAAAAAAAAAAAGGAAAAAATTTTCTTTTTTTTAACTTGCAACATGCAACAAAAAATATAAACATTTTTAATTATTCAACAACAATACTACACAAGAAAAAACCACAAAGGTGTTCATACAAAAATGTATATATATATATCTACATGAATACGAATGAATGTAGTAAAATGGCAATTGCAATAAAAAAGAAGCAAGTAAAAAAATAATAAAAATAAAAAAAAATTTCTTTAAAATTTTTTAATATCAATTCAACATTAAGCAAACCCCAACGCCTCAACTCAACTTAAATATTGTTAATGTATCAGTGGTAAGGAATATTCTTTTTCCCTTTATTGCATACTCACTATACATGTTACACAATCAAACATTCACATGTATCCATTTTGTGTACCTTTTATTACCTAATTTAAATAATAAAATATGTATGGCATAAAAGCTATAATGAACTTTGTTTTTGTCTTTTAATGGTATAAAGAACTTTAGCATATTCTAAAATATTGACTTTAAGGGTAATTTTTTGCTTTTAAGTAAGAGAAGACTATTTCCGGGCGATAGCCACCTTTGCATTCGAATCTTTACTCCTCAGCGAATTATGCTGCGTACACCTTTATATAGGTGCGTTACTTACTAAATAAACATATTAATCTACTATTTATTCACTCTCGATCTACCTTTGCGTTGCGGTATACTGTAACAAGTTTCCAGGTGAAAAATTTTCAAGCGGACTTCGACGTCTAAGGGTAACTTAAGATGATTAAAAAAATCAAATTGAAAAAATTCTATCTTAAAAATGTTCATAAGACTTTCGATAGTTTTGATCTCGGGGCTTTCATAACGATAGTACGCACTTTTTTGCTGATAGACGCACTACACCGTTTTCCTGTTTAAAGAATTACTACTCAAAAACAGTAAGTCGATGTACTGCACTTCGTTATTTGCAAATTTTTCTAACATAATTTTCATTTTCCCGTTTCCTTTCAAACGAGTACGTTTAAGATAAGAGAAGATGAAGAAAAAAATTGCGATATTTAAATTTTTCATAATGTTTCTAGAGACCTTAGAGTAGTCGTCAACAACATTTTTATGTAATGTTTATGCTACCTTTTTTGCTTAATTGAGTTTCGTTTTGTAGTTTCTTCTCTCTATTTTTTTATCTTTTACCTATCTTACCTTACCATTTACCACCTTATTTCAAACTCCTTCTTCTAAAGTTCTTCTTATACACAACACAACATACTTTTTTCTTTATTTCCATTTTCTTTCACCTTTATTTCTCATTTAATACGTATATGTATATGTTTTCTGTATTTCTTTATTTATAACTTTTTTTATCTTTCTTTTACTCTACTATTTCTTAAGAATCTCGGCGTCCATGATTTTTTGAACATTATAGCTGGTCTAACATACTTACATAACATATTTGTACATACGTATGTATGCATGTTGGTAACGCTTTTATGTTGAATATTTTGCTTCTTTTCACAACAATATTTTATTTATCTTTGATTTCTAATTTATGTTGTTTTGCGATTTTTATGCAGTGCACTACATTTTTGTGGTTATGTTTTGAAAAAAAGAAAAAAATTTATTTTATATAATGCTGTATATATGTACAAACATACATACATACATAGTAAGGTAAGTATAGAAATAGTTTTTATGTTGTTACCTTTTTTTTTAACTACCTTTGAAAAAAAAAACATCGTTTAAAGTAGTTTTAAGAAACGCTTCAGGTTACACGTTGCCGTAGTGCCGTTCCGTGTGGACGGATTAAATTGTTATTAATTTTTTTTTTTTTGTAAAATTACTTACCTTTTTGACTCTCATATCTTATACATATAATTAAACTAAATTAAAAACTATTAAAATAAAAAAAAAATGTGATTTTAAATTGAAAGTAAAAAAATAAAATTTTTAGAAATTATTTTTAATTATTAAAAATTAATTGAAATATTAAAAGAAATTTTTAAATTTAAGAAAAAATTAAATTAATTTTAAAATTCACCACATTAAATTAAAAATTGCAAGTACCTAAAAAATAGCAAAAAAATAAATAAAAATTAATTTTAATTTAAAATAAATTTTGTGCCGTAATTTAAGTGCCTTGTTTTTTTATACAAAAGAAATAAAAAAATTTATTAAATAAAATTTTATAAAGAAAATAAAATTTTTTAATTTAGATACAAAAAATTTTTTTGCTTTAATCCTGATTCTGAAAAATTTTGTGGTGAAAAGTGGTGAACTTTTTATTTCTTTAGAATTTTTTGTTCTTAAGTGTTTTTTTGTACAATTTTTATAAAGTTTAGTTTTACACATAGATTTTTACGTATTACAAATATATATATACAAATTTACGGTCATATACACATATACCATCATATAAGTACCATAAGAATATTATAAACATCACGTACATAAGTAAATGTGCTATTGGATTAACCTGTTGCTATATTGTTATATATATAACAAAAAAAGTATTTTAAATTGCTGCCATATTTAAAAATATATGTATTTATACTTAAATAAATTTGATGTACAAAATATACATACATTTATACATACTATATTCAAAAAAAAAAAAAGAGTAAGGAATAAAAGAATCTTTGGGAATTAAAAAAAAAGGAATCAAGATTTTTTTTTATTTTTGCATTTTTTCCTTTTATGTTGTTAATAAAAAACTAGTTTTGAACTCAAAAAGAAAAAAATATAAAGGAAGAACAATAAGAACAATTAAAACGAAAAATAAAAAATCTTAACATACGACATTTGAGTCTTGCATTGCTTTGCAAACAAAAAGAAAAAAATAAAAGTAAAATTTGCGGCAATGGCAATATTTTAGAAAATTCTAATTTAAATTTTAAGAAATTGAAAAATTTTCAAAAAAAAATATTATTGATCCTTTGTGAAGTGAAATTTGAAAAAAAAATTTAATTTTAAATTTACGATATTAAAAAAATTGTCCAATTTGTTTTTTAATATTTTGGGTTTCATTAATTTGTGTTACCAGTTTCGGAATTGATTTTTTCAAATCAAAATAAATGGCATGTACCCTTGAACCGAGACACCTGCTAAATATAATGTAAAAAAAAAGATGAAAACATGTGCATGTATTTGTACAACGATTATTGTGTCATATCGTAATTATTTTTCGACTTAATATCGTATTTCGGGTTTCGGTTGCAATCGAAACTATTGTTATACAAAATGCATTTTTTTACTCTAAATAAACACACCCTTGTATAAATTAAATTAAAAATTTTAATAAATGAGAAAAAAACACAAATTTACATTTAGATAAGCATTTATTTACTATTATCGTTAATAAAAAAATAATAAAATTTTTTATTATAAATAAATTTTATAAATTTTTTGTTAAACTTAATTATTATATAATAATATTTATAAGAAAAAAGACTATGGATATTGTTGGATCGCCATCTTCAAATTCGATAGCATTACCTAATAATCATTTTCGAAATGATTCCCAGGTATATAACGCAAAATATTTTATTTATATAAATTAAATTTAACACAAACTAAAATATATTAATGGTTATTCACAATTTAATTTTATAGTAAAATTTATAATAATTATGAAATATGGGATATGTTTCTTGGGGCGGTAAATAATGAAGACTAAACATGTTACAATTTCAAGCGTGACTCTTACCTGCGTCAGTCTGAATTAGTCAAGAATATCTATTCTGTTAGAAAATTTTAAAGTTCTGCAAATGTCAAATCCGAAGTATTTAAATTTAAAGTCCCTTATAAAAACATTTCCATTCAAAGAAACATTCTATTGCAATTATTTTGTTCATTGTTTTGCAGTATTTTATGTATAATATACTCTTAAAAGGAACGCATGCATTATTAAATTAGAAGACCGTACACCATTTTAAATACATATTTTTGATTATAAATTTGCACTTTGAATTTTTCATTTAAAATTTAACAATTATATACCCGAGTATTGAAAATTTTTTAATTAAATAAACACGTATAGTAATAATTAAAGAAGTTTTAAATAAGGATTTATATTTTTATTAAATAATACTTGACTAATTTAATATAGTGTTAAACGAGCTGTTCGTAAATCACAAATTTTTTAAAATGTTTCAAAAGTATACTTTTACATGTCCCACTTGAACAAAAATTGTTAAATATTAGAAATTTACTGTAAAAATCAATTTGTTATTTCAGCAATTTATGTTGTTGTTTTTTTTTTGTGGACCGGTTTTTAAAGGTTCAGCGACTCCAAAAGTAATAATGCAAAATCGATTATTGGACATCCAGTTTAGATCGCCATAGACAATCTAATTAAAAATATAGGGTCGAATCAATGTTCTGTAAAGAAACACTATACCCTTCCACAAGTGAAAATATTGCTTCATTGATATACAAAATTATATATAGAATTATTGCATACATTTGGGATGAGAAAAAAAAAATTGAACAAAGCATTAACATGATGGTTGAATTGGACGGTTAAGCAAGTGAGTTAAGAAAATAATTATATTTTTTAATGGCATGACATTTCGCGTTGGCGTTATGCATTCTTTGGAAAAGATTGCAGTCTGGGGTAATATAAGGTGCCGAAAATTCAAATTTTTCAAATTTCGAAATTCGATAACTTGAGAGGGAATCGAATTAGAAAAAAAATTTCTTATATAGCAAAATGAACTGTTAATTAATATCTAACAACTTTTAAAATTTCAGAGTCCTGCAGATCATCATCTAAGAAAAGAAAAAAAAACGGATTTTAGATAACAGTTAATTTTAACGGCCATTTTGCTTTTTCAAAAAACAACAAAGTTATACCGCGGAATAAAAAATCACTACCACTTTTCTGCGTTTGCAAAATTTGAAAGATGTTTGTGGTTTCGTTACAATAAATAGTCAAAAAATGGCAATTTTATGACTTTGAGGGGCTATAACTTTTAGAAAGGGGGAGATTGATAAAAATTTTCTTCTACGGAAATACGTAAATATCAATTTATACTCGTATATAAAAATTATGGCCTGCTCTATTTCTATTTTAAATAGAGCAGACGTTTTATAAATAGGCACACAGTCAGCCAGAGTGAAACTATTCTTAATTTTATGTTGCCATCTCTAAATTTCAAGAAATGTCGAACTTTTCTACTAACAAACAATAAAAGAAGACCATTTAATTAAATTCCTCTTTAGCAAAATAAAATTTCCATTCATGTTTCTTTCACTTCTTTAAATTGCATTTAGATTTTTAAAGTTAGTGTGACCATAATTATTGGTAAACTTCATAACTGGTTATAAACTTGCAATTAAATTATTAATTATTATTCATATACACACTTTCAATAAAAATTTTAATTTTAATTATGAAAAAAAAAAATATTCTTGTTTTTATACGTCAATACCATTTTGAAAAGTGAAATTTTTTTTTCAGTGTGACGCATAATTTAAACTCCTTAATATTCCGATTTTCTTTCAACTTATACTTACCATCACATTTTCAAGTTTATTCACTCTCTTGTCAACAAAAAAAAAAAATTATGCATCTTCAGTTTCAGTTCGGAAAAAACAATTTTCATCCTTTTATTTATCTATCAGTTTTGCATCAATTTTTCTTTCATTTTCTAATTACATATTATTACATACTCTTGCTATACTCCAATAATAACCAAAGAAAAAAACAACCTGAAAATAGTTAATGTTAAAAACTTGATTTTTCAACAGTAGCTGCACATAGTTTTCCTCTATAAAAAGTATCATATACATAGGGTACACTATAGTGTAGTTATACTGAAAGTAAAACAAAAAAATTATAGACCGCTTTTTATAATTTTACTGTACAATGTTGATGGTGGCTGGCTGATGATGCCAATAATCAAGAAAATGAAGCTAAAAATCAACATTTTTTTTTTCTTTCATTTCGTTTAAGTATTGCAAAATAACAAAAAAAAAATGAAAATCAAACCAGAATTAAAAACAAGAAAAACTCTCAAATAATATGAAAATTTACAAAAGTGCAACTTGTTTTACCACTTTAAAAAAAAATAAAAATTGCATTAAAATTTTTTTTATTGAATTTTTTCACTTTTAAAATTCAGTTTTAAATTAAAAATATAAAACAAGTTGAGTTCACGTAATTAATGTACATATACACATTATATATACAGTCCAATGAATATATATGTACCAGTATAAGATGGGAGAATTGTATGTAAGTTTGTATGTACATAATGTTGATTATAAATCATGATAATATTAAAGAATGTTGAATAAAATTGTGAAATTTAGCATAAGAATGCAAGGTACTTAGACAATGGAATTTTTTCTTACTTTATAAACTTTTTAATAGAAAATATTTTTAAATAATAACTTAATAGATCTCAGCTTTAATTATATGAATTTTAAGGGAAATTATAGATTTAAATAATATCATTAAATAATTAAGAAAGATTTTGAAGAGTAAATTAGAATTTGTTCGCAGTTTTTAATAATTTTGCATTGGATTGTTTGATCAACTGATTTGTTTTAAGACCTTTACATCTTATACTTATTAATTTTTATAGAATTTTAATAAATTTTAACCCTCAAAACCACACGAAAGAGTGTGTTGCGACTACATCATTGTATATGAACTGCCAAATTAGTTCTTTTTTTCGGCATAAATGACATTCTTAGTAAATCGTTTTTGCTAGTGAAAAAATATCGATTAGTTAACATAGTTAACAAAGAAAAATAATTCGAGTAACTGTCTGAAATTAATTGAATTAAAAAAAATTACGAAACAATAAAATAGCAAAAACAAATCAAAGCTGAATGACCAAGAAGCTGGTCACTTTATTTATTAGCTTCTACTAATTTCTTTGCAATTTACATGCTATAATTATATTTTTTCACTATGTCGTTGCTTTTTTCCATGAATTTCTATTAATATTGGATGAAAAAGAAATTAATAAACATATAAGCTCTTTTACTTTTCTTTCTCAGATAAGTGCAGTTTTTTATTATGCATAGTATAATATTACCTTTATTATACTCTAGAAAAGCAACATTTCCAAAAATGTCTGCGAATAATGGTTGTGAAAATTTACAAGATTTTCAAACTTTGCATATTTTCAACGTATATTTCCAAAAATGATTTGGATATAATAAAAATTGAATCCTGCCACTTTATAATCTCCTTATAAAATATCCTTTTATGTATATCAGGAAAAAAGCAAAAATTCATATAGACTGAAAACATTAGCTAAATAAAAAAATTAATTTCACATTTATTGATCAATTTATTGATTTCAAGGGCACATTTCAGTTACAGAACAGTTAAATTTAACGAAAACGTAATTAAATTCTGCTATGGAAGTTGGGAAATCTCGCATTTCCTTAATAAATTACTATTCTATACTATTTGGTTAATCTTTGATTAATGACTTTCTTGTGCTAATTATAGCAGACGTCACGTGCTCTTTAAGAAATAATACACATAAGTACGTGAGCATCGGAGGGAGACTAAATATGAAACCATAGAAATTTAACCCAACTGGGATCAAGATCCTAGAATAACTATGGCTGCAATTACTATTTTAAAAATATTAATCAAATTGTTAATTTTAATTTCATTAATCAAGCATCAGTGTTCGAAATTATTGCGGAATTTGTTAATTGGACTTATTAAAGAAAAATTAATCAATAAATTGTTATTGGTATTTAATGTAAATGCAACACACTAATCCCTAGCATAAAGTCAACTCTATATAGAAAAATTCGAGTCTCTAAAATGTTTAATAGCATTTCCTTACTTTAAGTAGTTTTAACCTCGCTAAAATTCATTCTTTTTTATAAATAATCCGAAACCGAATAGCAAATTTTAATAAAAATTAGGTATGAATCCTGCTCCCAAGAATGACTTTAAGCGAGTCATTGCTGCATTCCCTATTAATTAAATTTTAATAAAAATTTTCTATTTTATTAATTAATTATTATTTTCGAATTATTTAAATTTTATGGTTATCAATAAAAAAAAAAAATTTCTTTAAATAAATTGACCCAATTAATTTCTGATTATTTTTATTACAATTTTTTTTTATTATGAAACACAAGATTCATTTTAAACCGTAAAAAATTAAAAAAAAATTAATAAAAAAGAGTGTAACAAGTGAGAAACTTTATGCCACTTGTATCCAAAAAAAACAAAATTTAAAAAAATTTATTAACACCATTTTTTTTCTATAAATAAAATTAAAAAAAAATTAACATTTTTATTATAACTGTGTTTTAATTTAACATTTATAACTAACTGTTTTCATTATGAAATCTAAATTGTTATTTGATACAAATTTTTTTTTTAATGTTTGATAAGAAGAAATTGGAGAAAAAAGCCGAATTTCCAAGTTTATTTTGAAAACAAAACTAAATTAATAAAGATTTCGTAAAAATAAAATTATCATTCGATAAACTTTATGAATTTATGAAATTTTTTAAACTCTATTAATTAAAAAATATT